TCCCCAAATCTGAGGGAACCCCCCCAAATTTTGGGTTCCCCACCCCAAATCTGACCCCAATTCCCCCTCACCTCCAGCTCTTGCAGGTGCCTGTACCTGAACTCCGAGTTAAGGAACAATCTGGGGATCCCCCAAAAATCTCCCCTTAAATTTAAGGTTGAACCCCCAAATTTGGGCACCCCCACCCCAAATTTTGGGGTTTCCAGAATTTTCTATCCCAGGAACCCCCAAATTTTTGAGGATCCCCCAAAATTTCAGATACAAGCGCAGATTTCCTCAAATAATCTTCGCGTTCCTGTGGGGACACCCCAAAAATTCTGTGAGGGGAGAACCGGGAAAAAGAGCGGGAAAAGCGGCGCGGGGCATGATGGGAGCTGTAGTTCAGGGTGCGGGGCCTGCAATGCTCTATGGGCGGCGCGGGGCGTGATGGGAACTGTAGGCCGGCTACATTGAAGCGCTATGGGCGCGGAGGATGATGGAGGTTGTAGGCTTGGCTATAATGGAACTCAGTGGAGCGCGGGGGATGATGGGAGTTGTAGACTTGGCTATAAGGAACTCAATGAGGCGCGGGGGATGATGGGAGCTGTAGTCCCGGAAAGCATCTCCCCCTCCTTCCCCTTAAATTTTGGGGTCCCCTTTCAATTTTTGGGGTTTTTCACCCTCCCCAGTGTTGGGGTCCCCTCTCACCGCTGGTTCTGGACGTGGCGGGTGATGTAATCCCAAATGGGGGCTGTGGGGCCGGAGCAGAGCCTGCAGGGGAGGGAATTGGGGCACCCCAACATTTGGGGGTGACCATAAAATTCACCCAGGAGCCCAAAATTCACCCAGGAACCCAAAAATCACCCCCAGGAACCCCCAAATCCACTCAGGATGCCCTAAAAGGGACCCCAAAACCATCCCAGGACCCTCCAAGAGGACCCCAAAACCTCCTCAGGACACCCTAAAACCCCCCAGGACCCCCCAGATTCCCTCAGGACTCTCCAAGGGGACCCCAAATCCTCTCAATTACTCTGCAAAGGGACCTCAAAATACCCTCAGGACCCCAAAACCCCCTAGGACGCTTCAAAGGGACCCCAAAATCCCCACAGGACCACCTAAAACCCCTCAGGACCCTCCAAAGAGACGCCAAAATCCCCTCAGGACCCCCTAAAACAACCCCAGGACCCTAGAAGGGCACCCCAAATTCTTCAGGACCCCCCAAAACCTCCTAAGGACCCTCCAAGGGGACCTCAAATTCTCCAGGACCTCCTAAAGAACCCCAAAAGCATCCCCAGGACCCTCCAAAGGGACCCCCCAAACCTCCCCAGGACCCTCCAAAAGACCCCAAAATCCCCTCAGGACTCTCCAGGAGGACCCCAAAATCCCCCAGGACCCCTCAAAGGGACCCCAAAACATCCATAGGACCACCCAAAAGGACCCCAAAATCCCCCCAGGACCCCTAAACCCCCTCAGGACCCTAAATTCACTCAGGATCCCTAAAACCCCCTCAGGACCCTCCAAAAGGACCCCAAAACTCTGTCAGGACCCCCCAAAACCCAGCCAGTACCCTCCAAGGGGACCCCAAAACGCCCCAAGATGTTTCAAAGGGACCCCAAAATCCCTTCAGGACCCCCAAAATTCCCCCAGGACCCTCCAAGGGGACCCCCCAAACCCTTCCAGGACCTTCTAAAGGAACCCCAAAACCTCCCCAGTACTCTCCAAAGGGACCCCAAAAACCTCCCCAGTACTCTCCAGAGGGACCCCAGAATCCCCCCAAGACCCCTCAAAACCTCTCAGGACCCTCCAAGGGGACCCCAAANCAAACCCCAAATCCCCCAAATTCCCAAACCCCAAATCCCTCAAAATCCCAAATCCCCCCAATCCCCTCCCGCAAATCTCCAACCCCCAAAATCCCAAACACCCAAAATTGCCCCAAATCCCCCCAAATTTCCCATTTTATCCCCCAAAAACCCCAAATCCCAAAAAACCCCCCAAAACACCCCAAAAATCTCAAATCCCAAACTCCAAAATTCCCCATTTACCCCCCAAAATCCCATGAACCCCAAAAACTCCAAAACGCCAAAAAACCCCAAAACTCTCAAATCCCAGATCCCCAAAATTTCCCCATTTTACCCCCCAAAACCCCGTAAAAACCCCCCAAAAAACCCAAAAACCCCAAAATTCCCGCACTCACCACTTGGCCCCTCCCCCTCCACAGCTGCTGCCGGAGCTGCTCCAGGGCCGAGTTTGGGGTCAAATCCGGGGATTTTGGGGCCAGATTTGGGCATTTAGGATCCAAATTTTGGGATTTTAGGTCCAAATTTGGGGATTCAGGATCCAAATTTTGGGGTTTTAGAGCCGATTTTGGAGCTGATTTTGAGGCCAAATCTGAGGATTTTGGGTCCCAATTTTGGGATTTTGGAAAGGCTGAATTTTGTGGATTTGGAGGTTTTGGCGCCGAATTTTGGGGGGGATTTTGGAGCTCCTGCTGCAGCTGGGTCAGCGCCCGGCCCAGGGAGGCCCGGCAGGCCGAGAGCCCCTCCCGGAGCAGGAACTGCCTGGGGAGGAAATTGGGGTGAGAAATGGGGAAATTGGGAAAAATGGGGAAAAATAGTGGGGGGAAAATGAGGATTTTGGGGAAAATAGGGGGAAAAATGGGGTGAAAAATGGGAATTCTGAGAAGAAAAAGAGGGCAAGAAATGGGGGGAAAATGGGAATAAAAATTGGGATTTTGGGGTCAAATTTGGTGATTTTAGAGCCAATTTTGGAGCCAATTTTGGGCATTTCAGAACAGGATTTGGGGCTGAATTTGGGAATTTTGGGGCANCGCCATGATGGCCGGGGGGCGCTGAGGGGAGCGAAAAAGCGCGGGAAAAGCGCCGCGGGGCAGAACGGGAGTTGTAGTGCGGGGAGCGGGACCTGCAATAATGGGCTACGGGAGGTGCGGGACATGATGGGAGTTGTAGGCGAGTACCCGGGGCGCTGGGGTGCGCGAGGGATGATGGGAGGTGTATGTGTGTTTGTAATAGGGCTGTATGGGTTATAATGATTCTCTATGGGACTCTAGGTTTTAACGATTCTTTATGGAGCACGGGGAATGATGGGACTTGTATGCACGCCTGTAATGGGGCTCTATGGGTTATAATGATTCTCTATGCGGCGCGGGGCCTGATGGGAATTGTATGCGTGTTTGTAATTGAGCTCTATGGGTTATAATGATTCTATATGGGGCGCGGGCGTTAATGGGAGTTGTATGCGTGTTTGTAATGGAACTCAATGGGCGTCGCGGGGCATGATGGGAGCTGTAGGCCAGGAAGTTTCTCTATGGGGGCACTTGGGGGTCCTAATGGGCACTTATGGGGCAGAGGAGCCATTTAGGGGACACTCAAAAGGCACCTCAGGGGAACTTTGGGGTCTGAAGGCGCTCGGGGGTCACCTGGGGAGCGGCGGTCCTGGTTCTACTGGGGCGGGGGGAATGATGGGAGTTGTAGTCTCTGGGCAGCATGGGAATTGTAGGGGCAGACTAAGGGTCTGTGGGGCGGGGGGCGGTTTAGGGGGGCACCTGGGAGTCCGTGAGGGCACTCGGAGGTCCTGAGTGGGGGCTTAGAGATCACTTTGGAATCCTGGGAGGCACCTGGGGGTCCGGGGGGGGGGGCAACTGAAGAGCAACTTTGGGTTTGGAGGGACATTTGGGGGCGCGTACCTGGCACTCTGTGTGGCTGCGTGGCACGACGGGAGTTGTAGGCCCCGCTTCACTGGCGCTCTAAGAGGCCGCGAGGCATGCTGGGAGCTGTAGTACAGCCTTTAATAGCTCTCTATGCTGCCGCAGGGCATGACGGGAGTTGTAGTCGAAAAAGCCAAAATTGCGCGGCCTTTAGATACCGCCTTCAAGGGCGCTGATTGGTTGTAAGCTGTGATTGACAGGCAGGTCGACTAGTGGGAGGCGGCGCCGGCGGAAGGCGGGAAGCGGCAGCTCCTGAGGGCGGCGGTGGGCGAGGATTTTGGGGGGATTTGAGGCGATTTTGGGGCATTTTGCGGGATTTTTGGGATCCCTCATGAGCCTCTCACCCCTACCAGGCCCCAGGCACGCGTCCAGAGCCGTGATGGCCGCCAAGGTGAAGGTGGAGAAACCAGGTGAGCTCGGCCGGGAGCCCCAAAAACCTCAAAATTCCACAAAAATCCCACTCGGGACCCCCCAAAATCCCTCAAATCCCCTCAGAAATCGCCGAAATCCCAAAAGATTTCCCGAATATATCCCAAGACAACACAAATCCTCCCCAAAATTCCCAAAATATTCCCAGAATTCCACCCAGAATTCCCCAAATTCCTCCCAGATTCCTCCAGAACCCCCAAATTCCCCACAATTCTCAAAATTTTCTCCCAAATTTCTTAAAAACTCCTCACAGGACCCTCAAAACTTCATATGGAAATCATGATGGTAATGGAGACAAGGATGTCTATGCTGTGCCATCAGGAACATAAAAAAACATTAGAATGCAGGTGAGACTGAGCTCCTGAACTAGTGAGAAGAGAATGCAACAAAGACATTTTTTTTAAGAGTCTTCAGGATGAAGAGCAGATCAAATTTTTTAATGTGAAATATTTATTAATAGAATGAACCTTCAAAATAACATTGTTTTCAAAAACCTGTTTACAGTATGTCTTAGAACGATACATAGTTCTTATTAATAGAAAAAGAAAAGCACTTTTTTCCAAACTGTTGTGCACTCTTAAGCAATCTACAATAAAAACAGTATTTTTTCATGCTGGGAATGATGTTGATTACAAAAAAGCCTTCTAGCCCACTTGGCACGTAGTTTCTTGATTAGCATAGTTTTTTATTGTGGTGGTTTGACAGGGAATGGGATTTCTGGGATGCTGCTGTCAGGCCAATGGGTGCTCAGATTTTAATATTGTTACCTGGTTTGGCCATTGGGACATTGGATCCGCCTCTGAGAACACAGGGTTAAAAGCAGGGCTCTCGCCTGGGAGGGTCTCTTTGGATTTCCGGTGAGAAGGGTTCGGGTCTCTGCCCCGGTCCAGCTGCTGGATGGGCGGGGGAGGGGAAAGCCATGCGGCCTGGGAGAGGTGGGCCTGACCCTGAGGGGCCCAAGGGTGGAAGCATGGAAGAAGTACTGAGAGGTATTCCCCCAATCCCCCGCTTCTGGGAGACAGAGAGAGAGACAGAGCCGTGCCTGGGACTGTTGTCTTGGAATCTGATATCGTGTGCTGCCGGCACAGCACAGCCTGCGGAGAAGAGGGGGGGGGCAGCGAGGAGTCCAGCCGCTGGCAGGAGCATTTAACCCTTTTGTGGAGAATGAAATCTTTACAGAGCATTGACATTTCCTAGAGGGGAGATGCAGTGGAGGATGAAAAAGAAACTGAGCAAGTGAGATGGAGGTCTGAGCAAGGGAGAGATATGAAAAGAATAGAACCTTGAAGAACCTTGAGTGGGAAGGGATGATGGAGTGGCTCTTACACTGGACTCTTTTTGTATAGCCATGGAGAGAACTGTGTTTCCTTGGGATACAGGGACTGCATCCGGGGGGGCAATGCCCCAGAGCCAAGAGGGTTCGGTGTTGGTGCCCCTTGGCCCCAGAGGGAATAATTTGGGGGGGACAGATGTCCCAAAGTTGAGACCGTGCCTTTTTGGATTGGGACAATGCATCCTTAAAAGACAACCCTAGAAGCAGCTCTGGTCCGTGTTCAGTGGTGAGAGCACTGGACATGAAAAGGAAGAGGTAACCATGGCCACAAGAAGGACTCCTCTCCCCCTGATGAACTGAGGATTGAGTATTCTAAAGGGTGGTGCTGGACTGAGAGTCGATGATTTGGGGAATGGATTGTATTGGAAATTTGGTGGGGAGGAGAGGGAGATGTATTTGTGACGTTTTCATTTTCCTTGTGTGTTTCTCTTTTCTTTTTTTTTTTCTTGTAGTTTAGTCAATAAAGTTTTTTCTAAGTAGAAGCTGCTTTGCTTATTCCTGGTCACATCTCACAGCAGACACCAGGGAGAGGGTATTCTCATGGGGGCACTGGCATTGTCCCAGTGTCAAACCATGACATTTATTCATCAAGCAAGTTTCACATTGACTATTTTTCATCTTTAAATAATGGCATCTTTGTACTTATGCAGCATCCATGAAGAATTTCTTGGATGTTATTTTGTACCTGATCCTAAATGCCAGGTTCTGCATTCTGCCATCTGTCTAGCTTTCCCATTTGATGCAACTTCTGAGAGGTATTTTCAGAATTGAGGACTACCTGCAAGAATGATGCTAAATGCATGCATTTTACTCCTTGGTTAATGCAAAACTATTTTTCCTTTATAGCACAATAAGAACAGGAAAATAATGATGGTGGATTCAATCCTTGTAGTAATACAAAGAGGACTATTATCATCATTAGAAATCAAGCAAGTTGTATTTATTGCATATGCAGTACAACCACTAATGCAAATTACCCTGTAAATTCAATAGGAATCTGTATCATAGGAGTGGATTGAATGTTTCTATTGATATTTTGCTTAAAGCAGAAAGTTGATTCTTTTGACAGGCAACTGATAATTGCAACCTCACTTTCAACTACGGCTTTCAAACAGTTGAAACATGTCTGTTTATAAAATGATACGGTACAGTACACAATAGCAAATCAGGTCATAGACATTCAAAAGAAAAAAAAGATCAAAGGACAGATTCATTCACATCTGCAAGCCCTCAAGAGTGTACAGGTCAAATGTCCCCAGAAAACTAGGCTGGTGGTGCAAACTCTCTCTGTTGGCACCAGCAGAAGCAGCTGCTATCTTTATAGGATACAATCTTGCTTACATTGCCCTTCAGAGCAATCTTCTGTACCCCTGGCCAATACACCTGCTCTATTCCTTGGACTTCACGTTTGCTTTTCTACAGAGTCTTGTCCTGCCAACTGACTCAAAGTTCAGGTAATAGATTTCCAAGATTTAGAAATGCCGAGTTAAGTTTATTTATCTTATATTTCATTCCGTCTAAGCAAACTGTAACTTCCTGAAGTGAAATATGTTGAGTATGTCATGTGTATTTTGCATCTTAGTTCTGCTTCATATTAAACTTCTCACAGACTCCTGTGATGCCTTACTGCAAAAATATATATGCACAAAGAGTGGTTGTGGGAAGTTGGAAGTGCCAGAAAACCATGTAAACAATCTAAAAATAGAGCTTTGAATTTCTGAATATAATTGCACCATGTAAAGTCAAAATATAATATTTAAATGATTTTCATGTAATGATGAATGTGGGGTAGAGAGAATCCAGATAGAATTAATTTTTTTAACAGTTCCAGGAAAAACATGGCCTTGACTTGGAAGTATAGCATTAAATATTTTATACAGCATGAGTTCTCATTACCTAATCATATGATTTGTAGAACTGAATTGGAAACCAGGAAATAAAGAAAAATATTCAAGCTATAAAAGATATAAGTTTAAAATTTTCTTTGTATTTCTGGTTAAAACTATTAGGTAGCTAAATGGTCACTCATTATTTTAAAAAGCATCTGGACATTAAAAATAGATAAATTTCTGTGGGACTTGGATGTCAGCTATTCCTGAAAAGCTTTATTTCACTGCTTCCCAACCCTGAATCAATCCACTTAAACACAGTTGTATTTCAGATGCTCAGTGAAACTGTCCATGTAATGCATATAGTTGACAAATAATCTGCAGAAAAAGCTAGATCGATTTGAAGGTTTTTCCTGTAAATGGCATTCAAATTATTTGTACAAACACACAGATGGGATTTCTGCTGTCTTATTCAGGCCACTTCCTCCAAAAAGCTCTCCATCAAATCTCTCTAGTTCTATTCTTCTGGTGATCCAAAGACAGCACTGGGATGGTCCAACTGCATGGAATTACTGTCTTCTAGAGATGCACCCTGAGGGCTTCTGTGTGCAGCATCACGTGAGCCCTACTAATGTCACCCTGTTGGTATAAACTGAGCTAGCTGGACCTTAAGGGACAAGATTGTGCACTGATTTTGTAATAGAAATCAAGTACTAAGAAGGAGGCTGGAGGATTTAAATACTTCTGCCTCCAGCTTAAGCAATACTAAATCTTGGTCTTTATCTGAAAAACTAGGTGAATTAACCCATTCAGCATTCCTATGCCAAAAATGTCAGTAATACAATAAGAACCGTCAAAAGAGTAACAATTCCAATCATTACTTTATAAAAATAATTCATTGGGAGAAGTCGGGAAGAAGGATGCAACATGCCAATATCCTCCCCTGAGAATCATTCTGTTGATTTGCACAGGTTTCTTATTATATTCCCATCTAATGCATTGGACATGCATGCTTGTGATGACACAAATACTTGCAAAACTTACCAGATAAACCATGTTCTCTCCAGACAGCAAAACATTTCTTGATGGTTGTATTAGCAATAATTACATTTAGACTCAATGTTCTTAAAGGTCTTTTCCAACCAAAGTGATTCCGTCATTCTCTAAGTCACACATCCTGCTTGTCCTGGTTTAGGGCAAATTTGGCAGCAAACCTCAAGAAGGGGTGGTTTATTAAAAACATTGATCTAGTACTGATGTCCAGCGGTGACAAAGACTCTCTAACAGTTTAAAGTTCGAAAGTGTATGTTTATTGCAATGCCGGGCAGTGTGTGGGATAGCTCCCAAATACACACTGTGATTTACAGGTGATGACAGAGTCCTTTTATCTATACAAGTATTGAATACCCAAAATACAAATACATATTCATAATTTTGGTACATCCCACTCCCCACTTCATATGGTAACTAGTTCAAAAGCTATTAAGCATGAGTAGTTTGTTCCTCAAAATGAGTCAGTGGTCCCTTTTATGGGGAGGGGTCCCAAAATGAGGAAATGAATGAAATCTTCCTCGTTCTGAACTTTCTACAATTTCAATGCAAATATGACAAATGAACCCATTGGTAGAACTCCCATTCCCCATCTTCACTGGTTTCAGAACAGAGGAGGCCTACAATTGTCTTATGTTCCTAAAAACTATTTATCAGTTTCTATATTCTTCATTATAAACCCAGTAATCAAACATTATGTTGACAAGCAATCAATTATCAGTTAACTACTAACTCTTAACTTCATCAAGGCCTACTTATTTATTTTGATAAACTCTAATAAGGCTTATCTCTAACTAAAACCTGAGCTCCTCTGAAATCCCTAAATCCTTAAAGTTTGTGTCTCAGGGGGCCCCCCCCAGAAAGCCCACCCACATGGCCCCTCCCCTCAACTGGTTTGGGAAAAATTTCCTCTGAGAGAAGTGGAAAAACCTGTTTATTTAACAGGCAAAGCACTTCCCAGCACAAAAAATGAACAATACCAGATGACAAAACTCAATTGCTGCTCTGAAGAGACGACAAATTCCAAAAGTCTCCCCTGTGGATGCTCTCTCTGTTATCAATCCCTCCAGCACTGGGAAAGGCTGCTGCCCAGAGTAGGCCCCCAAAGGCCAAAAAGTGCAAGCTCTCAGTGTTCCCCAGGTCCCAGTCTGGAGCAGGTTTGAACAGTTCCAAGAAAAGGGAAAGAAAAAAAGACAGTCCAGGGAAAACTCTGCCTCAGCCAGCTAAACCAACTGAAAAGCAAAGAAGCACTCTGTTCTGCTCCGTCAATGCCTGAACAACACAATGTAGCTCAGAATGTGGAGGAGTGTTGCTTTTAGAAGAGTGAGTGCAGTCTCTGGTAACAAACTCCGTGCTTCTTCTTCTCCCCACCTTTGCTCTCAGAACCAGTCTTGAAGGCAGAGAATATAATATCCAGCATTAACAGAACAGATGACTGGGGATACAAGCACCATAAAGTCACCCTAGGACACTGCTCTACTGAGATATGTCACCAGACTATGCTAAGACAAAGTTTTGAAACTGCTAATTAAAATTCTACTATCATAGTGAAGCTGAGGAGGAAACACATCTCGCTACAGTTACCTTGTGGCATGCCAATACTTCCTTTCAATCACAATATTTTTTTGGTTTTAAGTCCGTGACATCATAGGCATAATTCAACATCTTCTGGGCAGGAAGGAAGATATTATTCTCATTATACTGATGGGTAAGCTGAAATGCAAAGCAGTTAATTCAAAGTGAAAGAGCGATAAAGTCAATAGTAAAACTCACTACAGTTTTGTTTACTACCCTAAATCCTTACAATCCCAAAATACAAGAATAGCTGTAAAAGCCTTGTGGCTACTTAATTTTTTCCTATACCTACATGGGAAGGTAATGGATAAATGATCCCAAACAATGGTAATCCACAACAAAGCATTTTTGAGATCATATTCAGCTTTTGTATAGCAAGCTGTGAGAGTCTGTCGGAATTTTCCCTCATCTGCCTCACGATTGTCCTTGGGAGCCCACTGAAGAGAAGACCCCTCTTGTCTATATCTGGCTCTGAAGGAGAACAGTCACACACCATGGGCCCCGAGACCTGAAAGCTCAGTGTTAAGCTATTATTTTCACAAGTGTGTTTGCTGTATGCTAAGAAGAGGGCACCATGCCCCATTTGCAACAATAGCAGCTCTGGAAGCTGTCCCACCTCTCGGCCTGGCTGGACTTCTCCTGAGTTCCAGGTGGTCTCCCACAGAAGACCCTCACCTGTTTTACAACCACCGTGACAGACAGACGGAGATGTGAGAAGCTTTTCCATCAAGGACTGAGACATGAAACTCCTAAAAGGCCCCTGTGCTCCTTTGAAGGACTGGGACTGAAACCCCAGCCCGGGGGAGGTGTGTGGGGGAGGCAAGCTGACCGAAACGAGATGTTTGCCTGCAGGTTGTGACCACTGGAGCAAGAAAACAATGGCTCTCGCTTACTGCTGAGAACATAGACTACTTATTACATCTATCAAGCTCATTTACTGCTGACTACCTGTTATAAAAACCTCTGAGGTATCTAGAGCCTTTGAGATCTCCCCAGCGTAGCAGGCGGAGACTTCGACTGGACTGGACCAAAGAACTTCGTCTCTGCGTTGGTAGCTATATCCCCTCTCCCCCCCTCTTTCTCTCTTTCTCCATCTTTTTCTTTCCCTTAATCCCTCTATCGCATTTTTGCTGTAGTTATTTCAATAAAACTGCATTTGATTTGATTATCACTGCAAGCCCCTTTGTACCATGTTGGTTTTTGCACTCTGAGATCATTCCTACGAACCATCAGGTCATCTGTCCACTAGGATGGACCCTGACATTAAATTGGCGTCACGGACAGGATTCTGGTAGACAGAGGGATTTGCAGGCAAATCTCATGCTAAATTGAGTGCTCTGTCTCCGGAATTGGCACAAAAGATCTCAGTGCAAAACAGGGGTAACTGTTTACTGTCATTACTGTTACTGATCTGATACCAGCACTGACACCGACACTGATACTGCTCCTAATCCTGATATTGATATTGGTATTGATGCTGTTATTGTTGTATTTAAGTTGAATCTGAACCTGTTGCTGTTGTACTTGAGTTGAATCTGAAACTGTTACTGTTGTTATTGCTGTATTTGTGTACCTGGACTGTCTAAAAGGGAGGGGACAGACCTGAAGAAATTAAGCTGTGCCTTTTAGACAGATTGTCCCTTCACCTACACAGGGAGTGAGGGGCAGCCCAGCAAAGGCTGAGTGGCTTTTTCCCTGTTCTAGGTTCTGGTCCCCTCACAAAGAAAACATTTGTGTGCGTGTGTTCATGTGAGTGCGTATCTGTACTGTCTAGGAAGGAAGAGAAAAATTTGAAGCCACCTCACTCACAGTGCCTCCCAGACTGATTCTGTCTCTTCAACTACCCAGGGAAGCAAGGGGACAGTGAAAAGGCTGTGTGATTTGTGTAACTTAACTCCCTGGTGTAGCTTTGGTCCCCTCACAAAATGACTAAAAATTTCAGTGCAAAAGGTAAAGCTGAATTTTATGCTCTGCTTGCTAAATACAATGCCACACCTTCTCCAGGGGAAGAAGAATGGGCAAGCTGCAATTGGTTTAACTTAGAAAAGGTTATTGATAGAATATCTTCTTTGCAATATGAATCAAAATTCAAACTGGGCACAAATAAAACCATCCTATGCTCAGTCTTGGGTGCCTGTCTCACAGCAGCCATAGAAACTTGCTTTAAGCGAAAAAGTGAGGAAAATGCTATCATAGACTCCCTCCAAAACCTAGTTGAACAGTTGGATGAAGAAAGAAATGTAAATAACTTGTTATGGGCTGCCCTGAGAGAGGAACATGTTAAAAATTCACAGAACGCTGATTCCTCAAAAGAAACAGAGGAGAAAGAAACTCCTTGCATTAATCAAAATTGCCCTCAAAAAGAATTAGCCCTGATGGAAAACTGCGGGAAACACTGCTGTAACAACATAAAACCTCTAAGTAAAACAGAATGCAACTTTATCAATAATGAAGATCTTGTCCCACACATAATCACTAAAGAAATCCCGTACACTGCTACTGAATTAACAAAACTTGCAAAGCAGTACAGGCTTCTCCCCCAAAAATCTGAAACAGAACACATTTGTCAAGTGTCTCTCACTGGGGGAGATCAGATTCCTTTGTCAGAACAAGAAGCTGGTGGGTGCTGGGGACATGGGGTGTTCCTAACAACAGCAGACAGACGCATCCCATGGTCCCTAACTCAGCACTCAGCTCATTGGGCAGGGGTCTTAACCCCTTGGAAAGGGGAGACCCTTTGGTCAGTACCCCTGACCAACTCCTGGAAAACATTCACAAATCCAGCTGCCTGCAATTGATTCATGAAAATAAATTAATTCCTGGTTTTGAATCTCCAATCCAATCACCTGTAAAGCCTGAAATTATGACTTCTTTAACTCAAGGGCTTCCAGGAACACTTAAACATACAGCAATTTTCCTTCAGAAAACCATAGTAGCTATGTCTCCTATAGAAAGACCAGATAAACTTCTTAGTAACCAGAATGACCCTTTTGTTCCCCTTTATGACTTGCTGAGGAAAAGAATAAAATGGGATTGGACTTCTTCTCAGAAGGAAACTTTGCAATTGCTGATTCTTGAAGTGACAGCTCATCAGGCACTGGACCCTATCCATCCTACAGACCCCTTTCAGGTGGAGTGGGGGTTTGCCTCCTCACAGCTTTCAGTACACATTTGGCAGCAGGGTCCTGA